ACAAACCAGTACATGGGAAGAGATCCACAACATCACGGCGATGAGATCCCCCCCCCCCCCCCCCTCTTTTTTTTCCTGTTTCTTAAACAATGACATTGGGGCCAAATCAATATAGCTTTAGGCGGAACAGATAGTGATGTTTCTTTAAATAAAATATGATAATAACTTTATAACATGTATAATAAGTTAGTACTTTAGTGCCTTTGGGACGTGGCACATGATCAAGAGCTTTTTCGAAAGGAATAGTATCTATAGTAGCAAGTATTTTTTAAGATTGTTTTACAAGTGATCTTTGGACTTATTGAGGAGGAGATAATGATGATAGAGTGCTTTTCTTAAGGCTACCACCACATGGGCGCAAATAAAACGAATCAGTACTTGTACGGAGTTCATGCATCTCTCAAGTTTTATGGATAAACGATGAGCTCACATTATGGACAAAATCATCTGTATCTTAAGCCTTTTTGTTTGTACTCTACATTTTTTGTATTATATTTTTCTTGTTCTAGCAAAAGGCCTGCTGAAGAAACTAAAATAGTATTTATTAGCCGTTTTATTTTTATTTTTTATTTAGCTATAGATTTATTAGATCTCTTGCAGAAATAAGACTGCATACAATAGACCTTTGTAGTCCGGCTCTTTTGTTGATCCCGCACATAGTAGGAGCTTAGTGCATCTAGAGGCAAATTCATAATTTAAATCTTATGGGTTCAACTTTTAAAGTTTTTAGCATTGCACCCATTATATTTTTAAAGTTATGGGTTCATATCTATTTATTTGTAATTTTAATTAATTTTTACATATAAATTTTTACTTTGCATCGAAAATTATGAGTTCAATTGAACCCGTCGGCAGAACACTACATCCGCCTCCGAGCGCACCGGACTGCTCTTTTTTAGCTATGGATTTATTTGCCACATGAAATTGTATTCGATTATTCTCTTTTACCTTTTCTGGCATCCAATTTTATGTTAATCCTTTCCGCAAGTTGAGTGTATGCCAGTTAAATGCTTCTGCTATCTTTCTCCAAGAATACGTACGATGGCGTTATGGTTGGGTTGGTTCATAAGGCGAAAACTATTTAGAAGATTGATACACTTGAAGTTTAAGACGAATTCGAATGGACTATCTTGAAAATAAGTTTATTTATTGATGATTACGTGGAGGATTGTAGGATTTTGTGTTTATTGTTTATCTGTGTACAATAAGACGATCCAAAGGAGGTCTTAACTTTTGTGCACTGAAAATGTAAAAATATATTTATATTGACGTTGTATATAATTAAACTTGTATATATGTACATTGTCTTTATCTTTTTATACCTTTACATTTTTCCAGAACATAAAGACCGCTCAACGTTGTGCCTTAACTTTTGTACATTTACTTTGCGACTGTAGAGGCGGATCCAGGATTTAAATCCTGTGGGTTCAATTTTAAGATTTTTAATATTGAACCCATTATATTTTTAAAGTTATGGGTTCATATCTACTATTTTGTAATTTTAATAAATTTTTACATATAAATTTTTACTCCGCGTCGAAAGTTATGAGTTCAATTGAACCCGTAGCTAATATGCTACATCCGCCTCTGTTTGCGAGAGCTTTAATAGCTACATATCAGATTTCTTGCACATTCTTTCTAAGGTCATGAAAAATCAAGTCGATACAAAGTTTTGTGTATAAATGTGGTGCAGAATTAGCTTCTTCAATCAGCTATTTGTTAAATTGTCATTAATTTGTTTAGCATCTCAAACATACATATATAAAGCCAGTAACACTTGTTTTTAGATATATATATATATGATCAAACTAAATAAAGTTAAAAATGAGAGCGCTCTACCGAGCTTGCTTTTATAGGAAGCTACAAGATGAGTTATAAGCATGGGACCAATATGTAATTATAAAAAGGGACTTTTTCGTATATATACAAGATTTTAAACTTATTTACCCGGTTTGTCTAAGTTTTTTTATTTACAGGAAGTAACAAAAGTTTTTTACAAAATATATACAAATCCGTTCAAAATTCACAATTTATCTACAACATAAATACATATTTTTTGTATAGAATCCGGTCAAAAACTACAATTTACATATAATTTATATATAAATTATGTAAGTTGTATATATTTTGTATACCGTTTCTATATTCGATATACAAAATATATATACAATTTGTTCATGTCTTCTTTTTCGAGTTTCAATCTGAAATTTTAACCAAAACCATCTCGAATCTTCACCAAATTATCTCAAATTTGAGATATAAACTCCAAAAGATATTCCCAATCATTTTCAACAACACCCAATTCAAACAAAAAATAATTTCATGAAATTCCATTTTTTGAATTCGAAGCTTTGAAGCTTTTTAATGGGTGTCAATGGAGTTTTTAATAGATTAACATAGTTTCTAATTCAATCTACTCGTTTTTAATTAATACTATTTTGTTTATTGATTCCAAAAAGCTAAAAGAATGATAACTAAAATGATTCTCTTCATGAGAGCTACTCGAGGGAAATCGGTAACGGCATGCTAGTTCTACCT